AAAGTCGTCGTTATAAATGTGAGGTTAAGCCAATGTAAATAACAATATCAAAACCTCAACTTGCATGGTAATGCTGATACCACTAATTTTATAGACAACCTAACAATAATTATGACAAATTACTAACACTTTTTATCATGAACCGTAGTGGAATGTATTACTACATTACATATTAATGTAGATGCACAAAAGTGGCAAAAGGCTTGCACTACAAAGATTGTAAACACGTACTTTAGTATACCTATACTATCCGCATATGATGAGCTCAGACTTTGTGCTGTGAGAGCACGATCGCTGAGCTCCAGGGGCTCCCCTCTACAAGCTTCTACAGTTCAATGCTGCGCCGTACTGTGCGCGCACGAACTACAGGCAGAGTGGCTCTCATGCTTGTGCTTCACAAGTTCAATGCACATTTGAACTAGTATGACACGATCTTTGATCTTAGGTAGTCCAAGTACTTGTGTAGTGGGAATTCAAAGTGATTTGAACTCTATAAGCACATGTACTTGATCTCCTTATGCTCGAAATTATTTTGCGTGTAACAACGATCAAAACAATCACATGTTCATCCACCCTTTATCATTTTTGAAATACTTGGCCAATCAACTTGGGAAACGCCAATAACAAATGACCATCATCATCGTTGAATCAAGTCTCATCAGTGTAATCATCACCACTACCACCACCACCATCACTTCAATAGTAACAAGAAAAACCATTCACATCATGCACCAGATTCAGACACTGGAATAAGTTGTAAGTATTATTAATCTTTGCAGGGTGCAGGAGCAGAATATCCTACAGTATTCGCTTTGAGCGCAATTACGAAATCACGCCCCCACTGGAAACTTTGAGAACGACAGCATTAGAAAAGGACAGTACTATGAATTGATTTCCACATGCTTGTAGAAAAGCGACATTTAAGGATTGGCCACCTGGTGAATGGAGCCGGAAGCTCGATTTCATAATAATTACCTTTTGTAATGATGATCAATCGTTCTCAAAGTGCCGAGTGAGGGCGCGATTTCGGAATTGCGCTCAAAGTGAATATGCTTTAGCTTAATGACACCTCAGTAGCAGACGAGATTAGCCATTCACTATCAGAAATAAGAGGGAGCCATGATAACATGAATTTAGAAGGATTAACCCTTTTCCATCTATACTCTTGTGGTAATAGATGGCGCTAGAACTCAGAAATTAAAAAACTACTGAAGCACGAAAATTTGAAAAGCACGAACCAAGGGATCGCGTTTTTTAGTAGGAGGGGGCTGTTAGTAAATTATCATATCCGTTAATCCATAGATGTAGGCGACACTAGTGCTCTCTCGACCTGGCGCGAAAAATTAATCTATTTAATTTACAATAATACTCAGAATAATAATGATTATAAATATTGCAATAATTGAGATTAAAAAGGCATTAATAACAATAAGAAAATAACTTTTCCAACTATACAAAAGCCTTCCAAAAATTCGGGAATCGATTTTCTTTGGTTTCAGGCATAAGCAAGCTTGGCCTTCAAACTACTGAACCCTTAACGTAAACAAGTAGCATGACTCATCCTAAATGAAAATGAGCTTGGCCTTCAAAATAACGGGCCTTTTACGTAAACAAGTAGATTTCGTGACTACTGGCATGACTCACCTCAACCAAGATAAGCTTGGCCTTAAGTTTACGGCCACTCATACTTTTTAAGGGATTCCCAAAACAACAGCTTCATTCAAATGCAAGGACAAATTAGGACAATCAAGTGGCCTACGTGACTTTTGACATGACTCGCAGGGTATAAAAGGCATTGGATTTTTCCGCAGTAGTTAGTTGGAATTGAGATTCTGTTACAGGCAGAGCTTGCGATGCTCTACATTGGCGCCCCCTCCAAAAATCTACGGCGAGTATTTCATCTGTAGTTGTTTCGTGATCGATCACGGTAATTTCAAGTAAGTAATCGCGTTCCTAAGTGTGTTCAAGATACCTGAACGTCACCTCCTGGGATAAATTCGTTGTTCACCTCATTAGGACTCCACTCATTGGAATCACTGAGAACTAGAGCAACCAAGGACCGACTTCCCAAGATTTGATTGACCTGGCACGTTAGTGCCTAATCAGGTGACGGACTCACAACCTGGAGTAAACCAGAGGATGGAGCCATCTACTTTTCCGTAGTCTATGACCGTGAGTCAGGTCATGACATATGCATATGTTCACAGTAGTGGGTTCCTGACTTCCGATGTGACTCGGAGGTTATTGACACATACTTGTCAGAAACGTCAGAAATATGTCAGAAATGTTAGAAACGTCAGTAATTAAAACACGCACTCAAATCTGAACCTAGTTGTTTTGTTTGTTTTTCTATTAAGGACATAGTCTTTTTGCGCGAGGGGTTCATTTCGTTAAATTAAATATTCCTCCATTTTCACTTTTTTAACAACGCAAACTGCGAGTCAATTGTACGATTTAAGAGCTATAAATTATTAAAATGGTTAAAATGCCCTGATTTTCACGCGAAAACTACTGTAGTTCAAAAATTAAAAATGTCAGAAATAGTATCAGAAATATCATGAGGTATCTTACCAGTTTTTGACCGTGTCTAATAATTTCTTGAATCTTGCAGCAGCCCTAATGATTATTATACCCTATACATTTCTTAAAAATTAGCAGGCCCGTCTCAGCTTCACCCAATATTCAATGAATGGATCACCTTATTGTGTTGACACGCAATCTTAAACGTTTTCAGTTAAAAATTTTGCATCTATTGTTGACGCTTTTCAGAATAAAAACAATTCTTATTAAAAATTTTTTGTTTGGAACCCATGCATGCTGAACAGTATGCTGAACAGTAACGTGCGCTCCTTACGCCATGAAATAGTTGTTGGGCCTAAAAATGGCCATTGATTTGCACTTTTTACACTATGATACATGGAAAAGGCTATTCGTTAAAGCTATAATAGTTTAAAACTTATACGAAATATATAATTGAAAATTTTTTTTCAATCTTAAAACTTTTTTATCAGAGCAACAAAGTCCTAGAGTCTAATATTTTTTTTTAGCACCTAAATGAATACTCATACACATTATCCCACCTATTTGAACAGCTTAAAGATTTGAGTAATCAATTTGAGAGTTGTAATTGATGATAGCTGATTTGTGACTAAAGGGATTACTTATTTATCAATTTTGATGCTAATATTTCGATCTTGATTGATGTTCTGTGTCAGGTTTTTAACGCATAAAATTGTATACATTTGAAGCATTTAAAGTTTTCCTTCCCATTGTCTCTTGCAATTCCTCTTTCTCAACTGAAGTTTCCAGTATACATGACTGCCTGGATACCTTAGTGTAGTCTTCTCTGATCTGCTGTTGTAGCACCAGACTGCTTAGTCGGGGCAAAAACCATAACGCTCTGAACTAGAACTAGCTGTAATGCTCTTTTTCAGCGTCTCCTGGTTGTTGGAGACGTTGGAGACGTTATGTAAGGAAAAAACTATACAAAAACCATATAGAAAGTGTTAAGAATCAGTATGCAAAATTTCATCAAAATTGGTTAAACAGTTTTTGATTATAACTTTGGAACTTTGGAACAAACTTTTAAAACATTGAGTAGAATGAGCAAAAAAATTGGTTTGTAATGCATGCTTTTTTCTCTTCTTCTCTATTTTAGTTAAAATTATACAGAAAAAAATTCATAGTTACAGGTTTTTATTTTTGTTTTATTTCATTTACTGACTTTTTTTCGTAGCACATTGCGATAAATTTTCTTCTCAGTGAACATCTTCTCCAACTTGCATAGAATCCGCACATTTACTTTGAGCATCGTTCTCTTGTATAAGTTTTGTTCGTCGACTACATTCAATACTATCAATTTCTTTTTTCGTTAACGCGAAGTCTTGTAACAAAAAGAATTCGAAATTAATGTTTCATAAGAACAAACTTTTTATATTCATATACATAACTCACATTTTTCATAATATGTCTGTATTGAAGAAGAATTATGAAAACATACCATCTAGATTTATGATACTATCAACAGAACATATCGAAGAACATTCGTCTCTATTTTGTAATTCTTTGGAGTTTTTGTCCTTCCATTTTATCTGTTCTTCATAAATATTAGGAGTTTTAAGTTTTTTATGTTCCTCTGTTATTTTGGTGAAAATCTTTTCATCAGTTTTTTCTTGAAAAAAAGAAAAAAATATTTATGTAAATAATAATTATTCTTATAAGCCAAATAATAATAAAGTAACAGAATTTACAACCACTACTTCTAATTAAAAAACTCTAAGCATACCTTTTCAACGATATGAGGTAAAGGTACATTTGAACGCCTTAAAAGTTATATCCCATATGTGGAACAGTTTACAATAAACAAGTTCTTGGGATTTTTTGCAACAAAAAAAATAGTTTAAATATTAATTTTGTCTTGTTGTGAGAAAAAAAAAGTAAAAATATTGAGCCATGCTGTTTCATACAGCTGACATAATAAAACATAGCCTTAAATATCTTATGCCATCCACCCCCCCCTTCCCGCAGCAAATCAATAAACCTGTTGAAATTACATGCATGGTCTGTGAGAGGCACATCAGATCTTAGTCAGAAGACACAAACTTTTTATGTTTTTCCATATGGAGAATATAAACATCAGAATTACTTATATGTTTAGTATAACTTAGTAAAAACAATGTTTCAAAACCGTACTGGTTCGGATTTTCTGTGTAGACCACAATTTTTAACGTACCGCTAAGTATGTCGAACTACTGAAAATATCGAGCGTACAGGGCTATTTGGTATTTTTTTATAAATTCAGAAACTTCGGAAGGCGAACATAGATGTTTATGAAGGCACGATATGTACATACTTTATTCTGCTAAAATTGGCATGTAACTCGACCACGCTGTTTGATTTTTAGTTAACTTTAATTACAAAGAAGTACTATTTCTTCTTTACAATGAGAAAATAAAAAAATTTAGTAATTTTTTTTGATTANGAGACTGGCAATTAAGGAGATGAACAACTTACCACAGTCGACAGAGCAGGATGCCACTGTCAATGTTACCGACAGCGGGGAGAAAACAAAGCTCATCACATTACCACCAAAAAAGTATTTATTCTCGCACAGCTTGCCTACTGGACTGACGCCCATTCGAGCGATCGACGAAAAGTACATCCAGGATAAAGAAGTTGATAATCAAAAAGAGGAGAGCTGCAGAAAAAAAAAATTTGAAAAAGAAGTCTCTATGGTTCCCGGGGAAGTGCCAGACAAGTCGACGGGCCTGATCTTGCCGTCAATCATTCCACTCGGTCCATGCATCACGACACCAAAATTCAAACCTAAGCTGCGCGAGTGCCCTAACAAACGAGAGAGGACCTGCCCGCTTTCCGTTAAAGAAAAGGAAGACATTATTCTGAAAAAAATCGTTTGCGATACTGAGAACGTTTTGTTGGAGTTATTGCTGCCTGGTTTTAAGGGGCTTGACGAAAAGGTAAGCGCTCAACGCGTTCAAATACTGACAAAAATCTTATGAAATGAGTTTAAAGGATTTATCTTGAGAGCCAAAGAATGCATAACGGTACTTTTTTCACAGTTCAGCATTAATTTTAGGTTGTTTTTTCAATGCTAAGAACACATTTTTTTTATGTAGAAATTTATGTAAAAACAAGTGGCTAAATTTACGCGAAAACTGTATGTTTTGCATATTATAAGGCACGACTGATGTATGAAGGAGTGTATTATTGTTATTACCACACTGTTTGGACAGTTAGTAATTTTCAGTGCAGAGGTTTGAAAAAATTTATACATCTCACGAGACGAAGAGAAGAAAGCCTCAAAATATAACGATTATTGCCCTTAGCTTCGCCTTGAGAGTCAATCGTATCTATTCTGAACAAGCTATTATTTTATCTTTTTTTGCGATTTATGACTTTTATCTTGCAGGAACAAGTTTTTGTAACAATAAAGTTGTATTTTTTAGAGATCAATAAGTTTTACATTAACTTGGCAATTTAAAATGTAAAATGAATAAGTTGGATAAGAAAAAACTATAATTTCGTGATTTTTCGATATTTTTACGATTTAGAGTGCCAATAAGATATTATAACTAAATTAGATAGGGAAAAACGACTTTTTATATATTTTACGAGCACTATTTGTGAGTTGTATCTCATTTCCATTAGATTTACAGTTATGTTTAATTTTATTATGAAAAGTATAAAACAAATAAGTTAGATAGGGAAAAACTATATTTTGATAATTTTTGAAAATTTTAGCTCACAAAATGTTTGAGTTACATCCTGGACGAAAGTATAAAATACAAAAAAGTTTTTTTGTTCAATCATATCTACAACTTCGTTTTTCATGGCAAACCTTGAAAATATCATGTAACAAAGTTATAGCCAAATAATGTTTTTTTTCGCTAAAAATATTATCGTAAAATGACTTTTTTTTGGAACAGGAAGTCTTGCCGATAATTTTGTGCAAAAAATTTTCCTAAGTATTATTTTGTACGTATTGATGAAAAGCAATTTGTCTTTGAACATTTTTTTTATCGTCAGTTTACTGCGCCCTTAGTAGAAAAAATTCTCTTCGCACCTAGTACACATACAACCGGGTCAAGCACAAAAAGCTCTTTGGGCCTGTCATGCGCTACCAGATACGAAAACAATCATTCCAAGATGAATGAGACGTTTTATATATATGTATTAAAATTTCTATCTTAAGTAATTGGAAAGATTTCAAAACTAATTGTGTTCGACTGACCGAATGGCTACGTGGCAAGCTATTTAAAATTCTTGTTGACATCGATGTCCATCGATATGGAAAATTTCGTTTAGTTTCATGTAAATATGGAAAAACTACATAAAACTTTGTTAAATCAACTACAATGAGAGCAGTAGTTGTAATCTCATACCCCTGTTATCCTATATAATAAGAGAGAAAAATGAAAATTAAAAATACTCTTGATTATTACCATTATTTTCATCGCACAGGTCTTCAATTTTCTTGGTCTTTTCTCGTATTTCACGCAAGTTTATTATTTTCAAAACATCCTCTGACTCCAAAACGCAAAGAATGTGCCGAACATCAGTATATTTTTCTCTTTCAGTATAATGTGGCTTCATACGGCTCTTAACAATGTTGGCACCTGGGAAACACGTATCGGGCTTTTTGATGATTCTACTTTTGTTGTCCAATGCATGACAATCCGGTGAGTTTGTCTGGTTTTTTCGTTTCTCTAATAAAAATAGAAATCGATTACTAAAGTAGTTCTAAAAAATAACGAATGAACTTAAAGAAGATGGAAAAAAATGATCATGAAAACAGTATCATTAAATGGTTAATACTGTATCCTTCAAATGTAGATTTATTGGTTGGCGTGCTAGCCAATGAAACAACACAGCTCAAGGGGTCGTGGGTTCGATTCCCGATCGGGGAACTCAGATTTTTTCTGATAGTTCTTGCCAAGTATCGAATCCCTGAATTCGACTTATGATAAAGCTTTAGATTTAAGATGAAAAGTATAAGAAGAAATTAGTGGATGAAAAATAAGAATTGTAAAGGGATAGTCATCTCGATAGTCAATCCTGCGTGACCGGGGAGTTACAAGATATAAAGTGAATATTGAAAGACATGTTATGACATCAAAAAGTGAGAAAAAAATATATGATGACAGGATACTATGTGATAAAAACTATGAAAAACGTGAAATAAATAAAGACAGTGCACATGTCCACAGAAAGTCAGTACACTATAGTACAAAAATAAAAAAAGTAAAATCATTTGTCTATAAATTTGTGATAAAAACGAACTTGTTATTATTTACATTTTTAGTATCTCTGAAGCGATTGATTATCGTGCAGATTGAACAATTTTTCCAGCAACGCGAGTAAAAATGTGACTCAGATAAGTGCTACAAACAGCTCGCGTCTCTTAAAAATTTGACAAACAAACCAAAACAAGATTATAGACTCTGCTATTCCCAAACGTGATTCCTCGCCATCGAAACACAATATAGGTAGTGCTGAACTATTTTTACCCGGGCAATCGTCGCTTCTGACGCTATTTCCACACGCGTCGGTCACGCTGAGCTTCCTCTTTTGGAGTCTTGCCTTCCTCCTCTTCTCTCTCAGCTTGGCTCTGTACTCGCAACAGCTAGTGGCCACTGGTGCTTTGCGCATTTTTTTTGTTGGCTCCGACTCGCGACACATGAGCTCCTCTTATCTCTTTTCGATTGATGAAGTCGCAAATCGGAAAAAATCAGCCTCTCGTGCAGTGGTGAATTTCCTTTTTCGATCTAGTATGCCTGTCAAACGAGAATAATACCGCTTATCTCACGTTTTTGTGACGGATGGGACCGGGAACACGTGGCGATGTTGATGATTAAAAAAATTGCGCTTATCTACTCTGCCGTAACGTTCGTGATCTCGTTTTTCAAAAAATCTCCACGTGAAGGTTTACGTAAGCTAGTAGTACCCGCTGTGTTTACTTTGTTACTTGTACGATATTCAAAACATATTAAATTAATGTGGCAATCGATTTAAAAGGTTTAAAAAAAATCTTTTTAATAACATCATATTTTTATTCATGAACATGCAAATTAGAGAAAATACGTTAAAATTTTTGCAAACTTGTTGTCGATAGAGTCCATTTTTTACTCTGAATGGTCAAAGAACCAGATACACTGAGGAGAGTAGCACTTTTTTCATTGTTACTGTAGTGCTTGATTTTTTCGTTTTTTTATTTCCAAAAGTACTTTTTGCAACAAAAAAAACTTACTTTTTTTGAAGAGCTTTGATTATCAGACATGTAGATAAATGAAAATTACCAATACAAATTGGACGGCTCTTCAAAAAGGGTGCTCGACTGATTAAAATGTGAAAACTGTTGTATAATATAGGCTTTCTTTCAACTTTGTACTTGTCAATTACCACTCTATATTATTTCTAACCTATTATAAAATAAAAAAATAATTTGCATTTTATCTGTTATTATTTTTACTTTACTTTTTTTTTGCTTTTAATATTAACGAGTAAGATCAAAAAAATACTCAATGTTTTTCACTAAATTCGCAGAAAATTTTTATTGACTATTATTCTATCTTACCTGCATATGAGAATGTACTACTGGTTCAAAGAATGAAAATGTTAATTTTCTTTTCTTAAATTTTAATTATTAAAAAAAATGTGCTTATGTACTGAAAGCTATGAACGTATGTAAGATTTTTGTGTGTTTAAAATTAAAAAAAAAATTTTGAATACGGTAAGCCTAATGACACAGTTACAGATTATTTTTTCAGGGTGAATTTAGCTGAATGGGTCAAAGAATCGAAAATAAACATCAATATAGAGATGGTTATTTTGATAGCTGTTTTCACACTAGATTCAAAAATGTCATAACACTAACGTTTTTTTCGGCCATCCAACCTATCTGTAAATTTACAAGTTTTCGCACTTAACCTTTCAAGAAAATGTAAAAATACGAAAAAAATTCCTGCAACTTTTAAAAACTTTTGGTATTAAAAATTAAATACGAAGCCGTAAGTTCATTGTAACCTTCCACTGTTGCTCAACTAACATAATGGTAAAAATATCGTATCGATTCAGGAACCGCAAAACCCAACAACCCAATGGCAAAGCGCAAGAGTGTCATCGACAACAAAGACAATCGCAACTCCAGCCCCATCGTGGCTAATGATGCAAGAGAAGCAGCCCGAGAAAGAATCGAGAGGATCTGCAAGTGCGACCGAATCTTGTCCGATACTGATTCCGACATAGTTCAGTTCGCGAACATCGGAAAATTCAACAGTGACAATGGCATCTTCCATCAGAGCGAGGATTGCAGAGCAGACCTCGAAGAAGAGTACCTGAGGGTTATGGAAAAACTGAATTTAGCCGACGATACGCTTTCGTTGACTAAAATCGAGACTACACTCCCACAATGCATGAAGTACGGAATACGCTCGGGATCGACTCATATGAACATGCAAAAGTTTTCGCCTCTGTCGCGAGGGTATCAGGTAAATATATAAAAGTTATGTTCGTGCTTTTCAACTTTTTTGAATCTCTGATCACGTGAAATAGGTTGAGTTCGATTAAAACTTGAGCTTTATAAAACATTAAAAAAAGCAATCACATCTGACGTACGATTGTTCAACACCAAAGTATAATAAGGGAAAGCCAAGTTTACCGAATACTTCTTCATTTCAAGGGCCCAGCCGCAGCCGTGGCAGCGATTGCGACCTCCCGGCTGGTGGAGCCACCTTGCTGGAACGAGGTTTTAATTGACCGCGTGGTGGAGGACGGGGACACCTACTTCGGCGAGTCCTACAAACTCATCACGACGAGTGACCGGAAAACAGTAACTTTGCGGGATCTGAAGCGTGTGCTTGACATCAAAGGGAGCCACCGGGTGACCATAAGAGTAGACGACCCTATCTACGTTGGCACTTTCAAGTCCGAGTCACCCCGGGAGCTCCACGTAGCTGTAGCGCTGCAACGGTTCTTTGAGACCTACGACGCCGGCATCCTTACGTCACCCGTCCTCAACGTTGCTCTGTGGAAGGGTCCGAATTATTACTATCTCTTCGACGCCCAGCCAAGACTCGACAGCTGCGACGTTGCAGAGCCCGACGAAGAGGAGGGCGCGGCCAAGCTTATCATCTTGGAAAATCTGGCTGGAGTCCTATTTGTCATTCTCGAAAAGAGCGGACTTATCGGCACCGAGCCTTTTGTCCTGTACGGTCTCGGGATCGAAAGCGTGGAGAAGCTCTCCGATGTGCCTGACGAGCCCTCTGGTGTAGCTAAAGAGCCCCAGCCCCGGCCGAATGGCTACCTGGTCAGGGAGAAGTACCGTGCGGTCGTTCGAGGCTCACTTCACCTCCAGCACCCTCAGCTGCCTGAACAATTCCACGGTCACGGCCACCTTGTCCTTGCCGTGGCAGCTCTGGTTTACTCGAAGCTGCTGTACTCTAGGAAGTGGACAAGCACCGTTCTCGACTTAATTTTCAATCAGTCACACGTGTATTTGACTGACTTGGCAAGGGTTCTCGGCAAGCCACTGACCGAGTCCTTTGCGCTGAGAATCGACGAGCTCCTTTGCGACTTTGTCCTTGGCGTATACGTGGCGAAGATCAAGGTGCGCGAGAACGTGGTGCCGGGCCAGGGTAAGAAGGGCAAGGCAGCCTTAAACTCGGGTCTGCGTGACTTTTTCGAGCACGAGGTGGCTGGCGTGCTCGAGATCAAAAAGACCTTTTTTGCCATCTGGAGTGAGGACGACAAGTACTATCTCTTTGACCCATTTGGTTGCGACAGCGACGGTTTCCGTGTTGTCGGTGACCCTAAGGATCCCGACAGTATGAAAAGCTACGCCACGGCCGTGGCCTGCGTCACGATGAACGCCTCGATAGACCAGCTGGTGGAAGTGATACTTGAGAACACGGAGAGCAAGGACAAGGATCCCTTTATTATCCACGGGCTTGACATCCTCTACGTCAAGACAAGCCCAGACGACAAGGTGGTCTACCGACAAAAAGGGGTTAATCGCCGACCGCCTCCTCCAACGCCGGATCCAGCCGAAGTGGACGAATGCTTGAAACCAGAGGATGGACTGCCCCGACCACGGAACGAGGGTCAGACAGTGCGCAGCGAGAGGGTCCAGTTCCCAGAGACGATGCACCAAGTTGAAAGGTTTGTCGACACCTACTGCCCGTATCGCGAGGACCAGGACAGTTCTGACACTACCACAGGGTACAAGATCGTCAGCCCCCACAGGCTAGCACTGCACGGAACCCAAAACTGCCTCAGCACGGAGTTTATTGAGTCCAGCCGGGGAAGACAGGGCTTGGTGATAGCTTTGGCTGCGATTGCAAGGGCAAAGCTGCTAAACCCAGCCAGCTGGTCGAGCGCTGACCTCGACTTGTTGATCAAGGATGCTAATGTAGCCTACGAGCGGGTGGTTTTCTGGATACGTGGAGGTGGGGATGAGAAGCCCTTCGATAGCCAAACAATTGCCGAGAGCCTGCATGCGTCGGAGAAGTCAAGGAGCATCCTCGCACTTGGACTGGACCACATGGATCTTTCCATGCTACCTAATACGATAGACATCGGCGAGGCTGATGTTACAGTGGCGTATAGGATGCGGGTCGTCGAGGGTGAGTGCAACCCACTGGCGAATCTTGGAGAAGCCCTGGAACGCTACTTCGAGATGTTCGATGAGCTGATTATAGAGAACGCGAGGCTGTTCTACGGCGTTTGGCTGGAGGAGAAGAAATACTTTACCTTTAATCCCTACGGTGACGATGGTTGTGGCTGGCGGGACAACCTAGGACCTTCCACTCTTGTGGTCGTTGATAGCGTGGTAGAGCTTGTCAACTTTCTTTATGGCGTGTTCGAGTTCAACGACTACCACTTTGCCCTACACTACGTGAAGCTGTCAGTGCACTCAGTTGGTGAGGCTGAAAGCGAGGCGCCCGAAGACCTGTCCAATGACATTTTAGAACTCGAGCCATTTGAAAAGTACGTGACCAAGTTCTTGCCGGTTACCGACGCTGATCTCCGCGAAATCCAGGGTGGCCGGAAGGGAAGAAAGAGCTCGAACGTGCATGGCGAAGATTGGAACGACGGCGAAGATGGTGATGGAGCGAACGAAGAAGAGGAGGTGCAATGCGTGAAGGACTACTCTTACCGACGGAGGTCGTCAGCCGCCGCCGAAGATAGTTTGTGCTCGGGAGAAAGTGAGAAGGAACTGGAAAGACAGTTTGATGATCTGATGAATCTATTCTGTAGACCTAAGGAGCCCCAACAGCTAGACCCACCGACGAGGTTGAACCTTTCTCTTATCACGGGCGTCGTGAAAGTTCAGGGTGACAACGAGAGCGTGAAATACAATCGGGCTCTTGACGTGTTTTACGAAAAGTTAAAGTACAGGCAAACTCCGCCCTTCGTCACGCCACCCCAGAAGAACTTGTGCGAGCTCTTGGACGCCAAAGCGGCCGTAAAATCAATGCACTCTCTCTTATCAAGGTTCTCGATCGATTCGAGACTGGCAATTAAGGAGATGAACAACTTACCACAGTCGACAGAGCAGGATGCCACTGTCAATGTTACCGACAGCGGGGAGAAAACAAAGCTCATCACATTACCACCAAAAAAGTATTTATTCTCGCACAGCTTGCCTACTGGACTGACGCCCATTCGAGCGATCGACGAAAAGTACATCCAGGATAAAGAAGTTGATAATCAAAAAGAGGAGAGCTGCAGAAAAAAAAAATTTGAAAAAGAAGTCTCTATGGTTCCCGGGGAAGTGCCAGACAAGTCGACGGGCCTGATCTTGCCGTCAATCATTCCACTCGGTCCATGCATCACGACACCAAAATTCAAACCTAAGCTGCGCGAGTGCCCTAACAAACGAGAGAGGACCTGCCCGCTTTCCGTTAAAGAAAAGGAAGACATTATTCTGAAAAAAATCGTTTGCGATACTGAGAACGTTTTGTTGGAGTTATTGCTGCCTGGTTTTAAGGGGCTTGACGAAAAGGTAAGCGCTCAACGCGTTCAAATACTGACAAAAATCTTATGAAATGAGTTTAAAGGATTTATCTTGAGAGCCAAAGAATGCATAACGGTACTTTTTTCACAGTTCAGCATTAATTTTAGGTTGTTTTTTCAATGCTAAGAACACATTTTTTTTATGTAGAAATTTATGTAAAAACAAGTGGCTAAATTTACGCGAAAACTGTATGTTTTGCATATTATAAGGCACGACTGATGTATGAAGGAGTGTATTATTGTTATTACCACACTGTTTGGACAGTTAGTAATTTTCAGTGCAGAGGTTTGAAAAAATTTATACATCTCACGAGACGAAGAGAAGAAAGCCTCAAAATATAACGATTATTGCCCTTAGCTTCGCCTTGAGAGTCAATCGTATCTATTCTGAACAAGCTATTATTTTATCTTTTTTTGCGATTTATGACTTTTATCTTGCAGGAACAAGTTTTTGTAACAATAAAGTTGTATTTTTTAGAGATCAATAAGTTTTACATTAACTTGGCAATTTAAAATGTAAAATGAATAAGTTGGATAAGAAAAAACTATAATTTCGTGATTTTTCGATATTTTTACGATTTAGAGTGCCAATAAGATATTATAACTAAATTAGATAGGGAAAAACGACTTTTTATATATTTTACGAGCACTATTTGTGAGTTGTATCTCATTTCCATTAGATTTACAGTTATGTTTAATTTTATTATGAAAAGTATAAAACAAATAAGTTAGATAGGGAAAAACTATATTTTGATAATTTTTGAAAATTTTAGCTCACAAAATGTTTGAGTTACATCCTGGACGAAAGTATAAAATACAAAAAAGTTTTTTTGTTCAATCATATCTACAACTTCGTTTTTCATGGCAAACCTTGAAAATATCATGTAACAAAGTTATAGCCAAATAATGTTTTTTTTCGCTAAAAATATTATCGTAAAATGACTTTTTTTTGGAACAGGAAGTCTTGCCGATTACAAATCATCATGTTGGATATAAAAGACAAAGCTTTCTCTTAAACTTCAGCCCAATTTTATATGCGACAAAAACTGCATGAGTTAGAAAAAATTCGATTACGCCTTTACATACTGGCATACATACATAAACGCCCCTGACGCCGAGCTCCACGATCGCAATTTTTTTTTTTTTTTTTTAAGTGAAAACTTCTTATGGCGCGTTGGGCACTTTAGTGGGTAAGTATTTTCAGCCGTTCTCGCGACAGACGAGATTACATACCTATATGTATACTCAGAGTGTATAGGTATGCGAGAGCGCTGCATGCTATACGCAGCAGCGTTGGTCTGAGCATTTATTCCACGATCACAGTTCATGCTTGATCGCACATAGCGCTGCTGCCTGGATCTCACCGCGAACTACTTGGCGCGAGAATTCAAATTCAAAATCGTATGATTTTTTCAGCAGACAGTAGGTGCAGAAATTTAAATTCGAAAGAAATCTTTGTATGTATTGGCTAATTAATACCTCAAAATATTTGATAACGTTGTATGATTACATACATAAATAGTATACCATAAATAGTATACCGCGAATTTGAATTTCCGCGCCTACTGTCTGTTGAAAAAATCATACGATTTTTAATTCAAATTCTCGCGCGAAGTAGTTCTCGGTGGGATCCAGTCAGCGGCGCTATGTGCGATCAAGCATGAACTGCATGTGAGCGTGGAATAATGCTCAGACCAACGCTGATACGCAGTCTTTGCATGGACATTCGTTCGTGATCTCGGACAGACGAGATTGAGAGTTTTTTATATTTATTTTATAAATGAATATTGAACGGAAAATTTATATATTTAAATATTTCATTCGACTTGTGTTGCTGCTATGGTATTGTGTTAAAAAAATTGATAAATTTTGTATTTACTATTTACTAATATTTATTGATTTAAATAAAACCACTTCCTTTGAATATAGTTTCTATATTATTATACTTCATGTCCATTCAAAAAGTGCCCACATTGCTTTGATAAACTTGATTTTTTATGTACAATTTCTCATGTCGCGAGCGCACCTAACAATGCTCACCCAACAAAGTGCACAACGCCCCATAAGTTCAAGTTTTCACTTCTGCCTACACTCCCGGAGTGCTACTTGTACTTGTTTTTTTTTTCAAAACTACAAGTTTCCAGGGCACTTACATTTTTTGCTCTGGAAAAACTATAAGGCACTCCTGAGTATCAGTTCTATCAACAAATAAAACTTTATAATTAGGCATATAGGATATAGTTTAACAAAAGCATTATACTAAAGTTAAATCATACTATGGTCAAAAACGAAGATGAACCGATCTCCCTGTAAAAAGAAATAATCCTATTCTCATGTTCTATTGTATGATATTTTTTTTAATCGAAACATATATGACAGTCTATTTTCACAAAAAAAAGAAGAACTAGTTGTTTTCAAATGATACTATTTATTTATTTTTTTATTAAATAAAAAAATCACATTTTACTCTCAGAAAAAATCTTTTTGCTTATTTTATTACGCTTAGTATGGTAAAAGACTTGTAAAACATAATTTTTACTCAAACATAAAGACACCCAACGAAGAACCAAGCGAGATCATGGAAAAGAAAACCACTGTTGCTCAAGCAGAGGACGGATTACCACTTGACCCCGAGCCATGTGGCTTCTCTACAACGGACAATGAAGAAATCGGTGTGATAAGAGCAAGCATGTCCCTAGAAGACCGGGAGACGAGGGAAGAAGGGCACTACAAGTCGTGCTACTTTGCAGCTATGATCTGCATCCTTGCGAAAATCAACATGGAAATCTACGATTTTCGCAGCACCGTACTCGACCGCTTCATCTTCGCTGCCAACAAAATCGGCAGCTGCACGTGCAAGCTGCGCTACAAGATAACGCGATTGTTCCGGAATTACCACGTCCTTGATGTGCGCTACAACGTCATCGTCAAACAAGTCCGCTACGCCGATCCAGAAAACCACGAGCCCGACTCGCTCAAAAAAGTGTTGATGTCGTTCTTCTGCAAACACCAAACCGGAATATTGGTCTTTGGAAACGTGGCCTACGCCTTTTGGCTGGCCAATGGGATATTTTACCTGTTCGACCCTTACTCCTGTGACGAAAATGGCCAGGCAAGCGAGGGCGGCGGGGCTTGTCTCATGAAGATCTGCAAGTTCGGAGCGTTTGTCAATCGGATCGTCGAGAACACCGGGGAGTCCTCTGGAAAGCCTTACAGAATCTACACTCTCTCGATCTGCCACCTCGAGCAGAAAAAGAAGAAGCGCAGAGTCAAAAAAAAGAGGCGAACCAAGTCTTGCAAAGAAAAGCAAGAGCAGGATGCCGAGGCGATTCAGGATTGTGAGCGATCCGAGGACGAAGACCTAGAGTCCGAAGCCGAGTCCCTGATCGAGCTTGCTGATTGGACGAAGGAAAAGCCCGAAATGCCGTCGTTAGACACGAAACCACCTGGTTTCTTACCTGTTAGAAACTGCAACGCATCGGTGATAGAAGTGGAAGTCTTGGAAAACGACATCACCCGGCCGGTCTTGGCTCCCTTCAAAAACAGTGACATCGCCGCCAGTCCACTGGAAAGATGTGTACTCTACGACCGGAAATTCTCCGAGGACTCGGTTGTAGCCGAGCCAATGGACCTGTGCGTGATGGCTTGGTCCCAGATTTATGAGCCCCCCGTATGGAGCGTCCAGACGATTCGAGCTCTGTACGAGGCCAGTAGGGAGTACACTCTGAATAGTATATTCGCTTCCGAGGACACTACGATACCCCAAATGTGGGACGGTCTGTTGACGGAGTTCGGCGTTGCGAATTACAGCTTCCGGGTGGCATTTGCACCGGTGCACTTTGGCAACCTGTACGTGACCGAGGGCTGGAACTTGGCCATGTCATTGGAGAAAATATTCGAATCTCCGTGCTACTCTGGGGCGATTCTTGTTTGTGGAAGCGCCCACGTTGGAGTGATGAAAAAGAATGCGAAATTGTATGCCTGGTGGTTCGTTAGGACAACGAAGAACATCAGGATCATTGTGTCTGAAGACATGGAGGATTATCTGAAGCTCATAATCAAGGTAAATTTTTTTTTTGTTTTCACGTAATATTATTTTTTTAAATATTGGTTTTCCTTGTGGTGCACTTTTACTTTTATTCTAGAAAAAATGTACGAAAAATGCAGCAAAAAACAACACAGTAAAAATTGGGAATTTGTTTTACTTGCTACTCAGATTCTAATAAAATTAAAGTAGTAAGAAAACAGTTAAAAAGAGAGTTTGAAACACTCTTCAATTAAAATTTAAGTAGTTTTAAAAATATAGTTAATGTTAAAAGTCGTGAAAGATTCAGGTTTACGTAAAAAGCTCGTTGACTAGATCTCCTAATAACATTTCGTACATCGGCGAGGGTCTCTACACCTTACTCACATAGCCTTTTAGCACAACACATTTTAATTAACTGGCAGCTTATAGCTACTTCCACGGAAAATAATGAGAAGTGGCACAATGTTAGTACTTCGAGGAGTCATTCAAGCCACAGTTTGCCGTAATCCATAATCGAGGAAGAAAAGTTGCAACTCATCATCCTGAAACTAGAGTAGGTACCAAAGTGCTTACAGTTTGAGATGCAACTATAACTATCGCTTTTTAACTTTTCAGCCTCAGTTCTTCATGAATTAATAAATCTTGGCTTGAATAATTTCTTATAGTACCAGCTTTATGCCTCTTCTTATTATTTTGCGTAAAAGTAACTTTATTAATAAATATGTCGTGATGCAAATCTATAGGTAAGATAGAGATTACTACTGAAACACAACTCCTTTACAGGATTATTATTTTTAAAATTTATGAAAAAACTTGATTTTTGGGTAATTTTTAGTTGGGATTCAGAAAAATATTCTTTATACTATACCTCGAATCGAGATTTCATTTTAAGAGCTTTTGATTTAAGTTAGATACTTGGATTACATCAAACGTTACAAATAATACAAGTTACATTTTAAAAGTAATAGAAAATTAACTCTCTTAAAAAGTATTAAGTTCAAACACAGAATATTGTATTCAAATCCTAAGCTTGAATGATCTGTGACTTTCTGCTTGATCAGCAACTAAAAAAGTTACTAGATCTCAAATAAGATTTTTTTAAGAGGCTTATTTATAATTTTACTTATTTAGTACCCATGAAATAAAATGTATACAGGTATAATTAATTAGATTTCCAGAATCAGCATGATTTTCACAAAATTTTTTATCAAATGATTGTTTGATCTACAAAGTAGTAGTGCTAGTTTTCGCTAAATAAACACTTACGGCAAGCTAAATTTTTTGTTATTTTTAAGAAGAGAAAAAAAATATGTAACAGAGTACCACAATAGTGCAAAACTAATTAAACAAAACATTTACAATTAATAACGTATCAGTATCTCAAAAAATATTGATCATCGATGAGTGTCAAAACAAATTAAATAAAACGTGAGCAGATAATTTATCGGCTTATGCTGAATGTATCTAGAAAAAACAGCACTGTCGCCACGCCTGCAAGGTATAACGTATTTTTACGAGATTTATTAACAAGTTTTTTTACTAAATTACTCCATATCTCCATGAAAGCTTACATAAAGGTTCATGTTATCAAGAAATAATAAAACATTTAAAAATTGACATTATTAACAATTACGAACTGATTTTTGTGAAGCTAAAACTTGCAATCAAATCGTTGTAGCCATACTATCAAATATCAAATTGTACTTTAAAGTACTGTTACTACTAAATCACGTACTTTCCTAATTTATTAAAATAAAGGGGTACCTGCCTTAATTTAAGTGTTCTAAAATAGAAGTACTGTATTTAATAATACTGTCATTACATTTTGGCTGCTAGACTTAAATTCATTCAATGTTTACTGTTTCAATTTTTCGAGTTAGGTAAAAATTTTTTTAGAATAAATAGCAAGTTCTAAGGCATTTTAACAAACATACAAAAAACAGTGCATCTTAGAGAGTATTGTTAAGTTTTAATAAAAAAATATTACTAATCAATTTTAGTGCAATAGCAAGTTAAAACATGGTTTCATTCAGTCTCCTTTAGCGTTTTGAATCGCTTTTCAAGAAAATACTTCAACTTAACTCCCAGCTTCATTAAAACATAAATTAGAGGCATTATATGTACTGTATTTAGTATATTTATACAAAAACATTTCCGATTGTACAGAGCCTTAAAGTAAATCCATGTTTCTTATCACTGATTACCATGTTATTGATTTTCTACATATTTTGTACTGACCAATCTTAACTTTATGATGTTGTATAGCGCAGGAAAAAATTGACTTTTAACAAAAAAATTTGCTACCTTTAAAAGTTTACTTGCTTTTCCAGTTTTTAAGTAAATTGAATCAACTCTAAATTTTTTATGAAATAAAGCACTTCTACCATGCTGTTGTGCCCGAAAACCATAACCTTAACTTTAATTAGTACAAGTTACTAAAATACTTTTTTGCATCTAAATTGGTATTGTTTTTTGATACTTCACCCACACTTTTGAGGTGCTAATATTCTCAAAATTGTATAAGCTTTCTTGTATTACAACTTTTTTTTTTTAAGCATTATTGAAAATACATTTTCTGCATAGTAGATTGAGTACTCTGATCCTATTTATTTTTGTTTCAAAATTATTGTAACTAATCGAGCAGTTGTAAAAGTCTCTATTTTTCGCTCTGGTGACATAAGACACTTCTGCACATCAATCGAGTTTCGAAAAAGTAGCTTTATGTCACTATAACATATTTGTTTAGCAGAGCATAGGAAGATAGTGTGCTTTAAATTCCAGATATCGCCATACTATTGATGGCTTCAATTATTTACTTATTTCTTTTACTTTGGCTGTAGAGCTTCAAAATAAAACAATTTTTTTTACATGAACGATGAAATGCAGTTGCAGAATAAATTTATTGTATTACAGGAGATAAACGAGCCAAAGGAGACAGCATTTGCTATACGAATGGTCACAATATCATACGCAAAGATGATTGGACCAAATTGCAGTGATCTCGAAGGTCTGCACGAGTCCATGATGCCATCTACCTCCGTTCCTCAAATCCATACAAAAGATAAAGAAGTTTTGGATTCTTATGCAATATTCCGACCAATAAACAAATGCAAAGCACCCGTTTTTATACTCGGATCCGTTGCTTTGAGTAACAGAGACTCCGTTAAAGAACCAAATGTTAAAAGATGCTACTTTGCTGCTCTCCTCTCCGTAGTAATGAAAAGAGACATCATTCAGAATCCACTGCCAGAAATGGTCGACAAAATTCTACAATTCGCTGACAGCATGTACAAATTGTTCGAGAAGCCCAAGTACCATACCGAGCATGTACTAAAGGACGTCACCGTAAACGATCGAGTCTTTGACCTACGTGACTGCACGTCTGACCTCACGAACCTGCAAAGTGACAAGCAGAGCATCGACGATGTCTTCTATCCAGCTGTGAAAGCGCAATTGAAAGAGTTTTTCAAGAAGTATACTAGTGGTATTATACACTTTTCAAACTGTTGCTATGGATTTTGGTACTCGAGGTTGACTAGTTGCTACTACTACTTGGATCCCTACCAATGCGATAAAAAGGGAAAGCGCGTGGATACCCGTGGTCGTACCGCCGATAACGGTTTCGGTTGTCTGTGCGTCTTTGCAAGTATTTGCAATATGGCCAAACAGATGTGCATCAATCACTTCGAAGAAACGACAGGATTCTTCATCCATCGGATCCACGTGGAGGCTGTGAATCCATCCACTTACGAAGAATTCCAGGAGGATCCTGTCTGGAACTATCTGGACTACCACTGGAGTTACAGACACGCGACACATCTGATAAGCCATAGGAGCACAAAGAGCAAAAAGCTGAATACCGAGCAAGATCCTATAATGGAGGAGAAGCCCATGCTAAAAAACTACCTTTTAGAAGTACCAAACATGATTTTCTCGCTTTGGGGTAGCGTGGGTGCTTTCTACACTAAATTCGAAACTAGAGCTGGGAAGAACCAAGCGGCTATCGGAGTCGTCGCCCTCGCATTGCAGAACATTTGTCATCCTTCTGAGTGGGACTCCGTGATTTTGGATTCGGCTGTCATCTGTGGGGATCATTTTTACAAGGAGAGTCGAAAAACTTGCTCAGAGTACTGCAACAAGTTTAGCCTTCCCGAGTGCCTCAAGATACCTCCCCACCTCTGGAGTCTCGAGTTTGCTTCGGACATGTGCGGCGTGCTCTACGGAAGTAAGAAAAACCCGAATCTAGCCACTCGCGTCAACCAGGGATTCGAAAAGTCGCCAAATCTGTTCATCCAGTGTGGGAGGAAGATCTTGACAGCCATCCGTACCACCGACGCCCTTTACGCGATCGACTCATCGTGGACTGGACCACCTCTTTTCTCGAGAGGTCGCGGAGCCATATATGCCATCAGATGCGTGAACGTCAATACTCTGGTCTACGTCCTCATGAAAATGTTTAATACCAACCGGAAATTGGAGTTCGCGATAACGCCGGTGAAGCTCACTTACAGGCAGGAGGTGGTGTGCCGCTCTAGTGACTCCAAGTCCGGAAAGAAGTTATTGGAAAAGACCGTACGTTCCACGCCGGGCTTAGCTGTTAACCACCCGAGTCTTGTCGCCGGCAGCGAGACCGTCGCAGACGAGGACTCCTATTTGTGTTACAGTAGAAACTTGCTGCTGGGTCTGGAGCACGGAGATGAGTACGAAAATCCACCGGAGCTGCGTCGCAGCTCGAAAGCGGACACCAGATCTTCTTCTGGAGTAAGGAAGAAGAGGAAAACCTGCAAAAAATCGTCGAGCAGCGTCCTGCACGAGGATGTTAGTTATCCTCGGGTCGTGGACTTGGCGAAACTCAACGGCGAATGCGACACTTGGAGCTGGAATCGGGAATTTGATATCAGGACCAGCTTCGTTTGCGACGAGACACGTGATGTGTTCAATAGTTATAATGAACAGATGCAGAAGGACGTTTACAAGACAATAAAGCATCGCAACGCGGAAGGTTGTCAGGCAGCTGCTTTTGGAGATAAGGATTACAATGGTCCAACAATGTCAAAGACTTCTGTGAGGATCACGGATTTGGCTGAGGGTGACGAAGGCGAAGGTGATAAAGTGGGAATGAATGACAACGAGGGTGAATGCGTCGATGCTATTTGAATGAGTACTGGCCTGAAACTTTATCTGTTTTTTGACTTCAGAGTTTGTAAAGGTGAGGAAAGTATTAGGAGTTAAGTAATTGGGTTTTATCAATAAAGTACACAAAAACTCAGCATTTTTCAGATTTATTTACGAAAATAAAGACGTGAAAGGTTTAAGAGTACATACTTTTGTGTTCATATACTACATAAGACTAATTGAGCCACGCATCATGTTCAGGCGCTTTAAAAAACATTGTACAATCAATTCTTTAACTATAGTTGTAAAAAAATATTCATGTTTCATTAGATTTCACAATATATGGATTATTTGCATTGTAAATAGCTTGACGCACTGCCTGTATAACATGATTATCAAATATTCAAGTCGTCACTTTTATAAAAGTCACCACAAGTCCAAGTGAATTATTTCAACCCACTTTTACTGCAACACTTTTACACGTTGATATCCAGAGGATTCTGTCTATGATTATTTATTACACGTTAAAAACGTTTTGTTTCAATCAGTTTTAAGTGCGTGAATAAAAAATTACTCATTGAGACAGAGTTAAAAATAAAAAATTTCACAAAAAATTCAAGCGAGTGAAAAGTGTTATGATTTTTCATCCCTGCACTAGGTTCAAATAACTCAAACAAATTTATATTATAATGCTGAGTGGCGTTATATGACCATTGATAGAAATACAATCTTTCACAATAAACAACGCTCCTAATTTACGTCAATGTCATTTAATATTATACCTATCTCTTGGACACTTACACAGAACGAACACTTAGGCTGATACAAAATGCGTATGAATAGCTACCATAAGAAACTTAAATCAATTTTCATCAATTATGCAATACAGTGAATCATCTACACAATATTAAAGAGTGATGGTTATATATATATTTGATACGATTGTGTAAGTTGTACTTATAGGGTTTATACTAACGTAAGATAACGTTTTTATTAAAATACAAATTTGCTTGTGTGGCTATACATTAAATATCTACTTAAAAAATTTTTTTTAACTTAAAAGAATTTCGCGCACAATTTATTACAATAATAATACAATCAAAAAAATTATTTGTCAAGCAACTACATTTATTATTTATAAAATAACTGTAAGGGACGAATTCTTATCTTATTGTAGCCAAATAAAGTTCTCAAAATAGTAGTATAACTAATATAAGAAAATCTTTTAAGTTAGTAATAAAAAATGTTGTACAATTGTTATGCTCATTGAAAAATCAAGATGTGAAAATACTCCTTCGTAAGTACATGTGTCAACTTAACTTTGTACACGCGAAACTCCGCAAATGGTTTCCGGTAAACCGCACCGCAGACTTCGACGAGAATAACTTATTTTCTATATTCTATGAAAGATGGTTATAGCTTAACGTATGTTTCATAAATATATTTATTTTTTTAAGCTATTGCTACATAAATAATAGTGCTTACAATTAATCGATCAATTCTTATTAAACACTCCAGTTTTTAACGTGTGAAAAGAATTAGCGCCTTTAAATACTGATAAATAATTAAAATATAGAAATTTCCTTATACCTTGGAAAAAGAGGCTGTCAAATTAAAATTTAAATAAATTTTACATGAAAATTGGCAGTGTGAGTGAAAAATCCAATGAGATAATAAGTATAAGCACCTTCTTTATTTTATCCACATTTTTACTGTAAGAACTTATACAGATTATTTATTTAGCATGCAGTGTATTCTAGATAAAGTGATAAATACCTACGGCAAAATCTTAAAATGGCAATGATTTTTTTTCTTTTGAAATGAGTTTAATTCGTTCAAAATAGATTTCTATACGACAGAAATTACTCAAGTAAAATTTATATATATATAAAGCAATATAAACTGACTATTGTTATCGTAAAAAAAATGTAAATGTGTTATAAACATCGAAAACAATGTAAAGAATCTATCAAAACTGGTTAAAGTATTTTTTTTTTTCCTTGTAAAACAATTTTCATATCACAATTTTTTTTTTATAAATTAATGACGTTAATATGGATTGGAAGCCGATCTCAGAGTTAAGTACTTCATCGGTAAGGTTCAAAGTTTGTTTCACCATGGGTATAAAAACCCGTGATACCCGTGATGACCGGATGCCCAATCTAGAGAGAGAATAGTAATGCAAAAAACTCAAAAATAAAGATTTTTGAGATGTTGGTGCTGAAGAATATGAAAAAGTTATGGCTACGCTCTCCAGATGAAAGATTAAATGATTTATTCTCCCGTTAAGGTGGCTTGGGTGGTTGGTACCGTACGTAAAGTAGGGTACCACAAGGGACTCTAAAAAATCAACACTTTTCGACGATAAATTTTTCAATGAATATGGTTATTTCGATAAAGCCAAAGTACAAGATCAAGAAATTGCCAGAAAATTACCGTGAAATTATAGTTGTGAAAATTGGGAGATGTAAAGCAAGCCAGATTAATATTTCATACTTTTCTTCTGATTTTTTGTTAAGTTAAGTCGTTGGCCCTATATTTTTAAGAATTTAATAGATTCTTTGTAAAAAAATACACAAGAACTATTTTAAATTTTTGAGGTTAGTCAAAGATTCCCGAAGATATAGTAGATTTTATGACCACTGTTCATAAGAGTAGGTGTTAAATTGGTAAAAGTAGCGAGTTGCGAAGAAATTAAGTCGTTGACCTCAGTATTTTGTTATCGTAAATGAATTTGGCAGAATTTATTTACATAATTCCAGAATTTCAGAGGTTTCGATCAAGCCGATAAAAATCGCCCAAGCCACCTTAAAATTAAAAAGTTACTGAATGTGAAAAATGGGAACGGGATGATTTTTTATTGGAAATTACCCCCACTCATGATTTAATGACGTATCATTCTATATGTTACTATAGCTTACTGATCATACGGATTTGACACCCACCACATGACAAAATTTTAATGGGTTAACAATGACTGTAGAGCTGGACACAAGACTAAAGGTATCTCGCCTCATCTCCTTTTATGGCAGCGCTACCGATGAGGTACTTAAATGCGGGTCAGCTCCCGGTCTAATAGAATAGCTGCTCAAGGAAGAAAAGTCTACCTTAATATGATACGAAAGGATTATTATAAAACACAAGACCAGTAGGCAATAACGTGGTTGCAAACCGTAAATGAATTTTCTATTTAATTTAACATTCATTTTTCATTGCAGCATAATTTAGTAACTATAAGAAATTATTCCAAATTGATGTCCACATGTTGTATGGTTTTCGTAAAAAAATGTTTTANTATATTTATAGTGTATTTATATGCATTTTGGATGTCAGTTACAATTTTTTTTGCTCCATGTGCTAATAAAAAATGTTAATTCATAGATTTTATCAGTATCGACTCTATTTATTTAAATATGCGGTTCATATTTCCAGCGTAATAATTTTATAACCCGTTATATTTTTTACTTATATTTAAAAATTTTAGCTTCTTGTAACTTTTTAAATTCGTAGTTCTTGTCAATTTGTGTTCTCTGCAAAGCACGAAAGCAATTGCAAGCATTATCACGTAACGGGTAATATAAATTTGTAAAACAACATAAATTTATTACGATTGCTGCAACCGTGAGAACCCAAAGTCATCTCTTATGTTACTTTTTACCATTGCGTCGTCCTTCTGTCATGATAAATATAAGCTTTCAATAAAGTAATGTTTCACATTTCTTGAATAAAAGAGACAAGATACGCCATAAAAAGATAAATATTTCTGATATCGTAGCTTACAATCTCCACACTATGTATGGATCTGTAATAAAAAAAAAATTAAACAGCGACACGCAGTGCAGTGGGTACTTTTTATCCTTGCAAAAGCGAATCGCGACTCACAATACAAAGCTTTTTACGTACTAACGAAAACTATAGATTCTATACAGAGATAAAAAAAAAGGATAAAAAATAAAGAAATCACATTAGTGTAAGCAATACCAATAAATCGCGGAGCTCGCGAGTATAGGTCTGCACCATGACAAGCTCTATGTGTCAGCATCAGCATTTGAGGAATCACCACGGGGCAAACTCATCAATTCGGAACTGTGATCTTGGCGCTTTCTTGGAGCGGCTGGCCATCGGGTTTTGTATATAGGATCTCTGCGTATTCGGTCTTTTCTTCGTTGAGCCGTCGAGCCCCTGGCTGCTGATGGGGGTGGGCTAGATCAAGCTCGGCGTAGACTATCCCCGCGTCGCTCCCGGCTGGGCGTGTTGGCGTCTCTGCTGCCACTGTGGTCACCTCGCTGGATGGAATCTGTTGGCAAAGGTACGAGATGGGAGTTTGAATATTACGTTACATTGAGCTGCGGTTACTAACATAAATACAGGACGAAAACTATCCAGGAAGTGTCGAGAATCGGTATACGAAATTTCAGCAAATCGATTGAGAAGTAGTCGCAGTTTGCGATTGCAACAGTTTTTGTGATTACTAACAATATAATAAAAGTTAAAAATTTTCTTATTGGCGAAACAAAATGCATTAATTGGGCAACTAGTTAAGTCTTACTTCACTTGGGCCATGTTTTAACTTTTCCAAGTATTTGTTAATTCTCTATAATTACATTTGAGTAGCTATTACATAATCACTGGTAGCGCTTATTTTGGGGAGTTGAATGAACCGTCCATTTGAAAAAATATTTTAAATTTTTCACGATACAAAATGACAGAAAACCGATTTAGTTCAACACAATTTTGTGATTTATAGTATCTCATTAATATAAATTATCTCATTCATATAAAGTCCTTAGACCTTAAAGTATTTTTTTTTTTCCTTGTAAAACAATTTTCATATCACAATTTTTTTTTTATAAATTAATGACGTTAATATGGATTGGAAGCCGATCTCAGAGTTAAGTACTTCATCGGTAAGGTTCAAAGTTTGTTTCACCATGGGTATAAAAACCCGTGATACCCGTGATGACCGGATGCCCAATCTAGAGAGAGAATAGTAATGCAAAAAACTCAAAAATAAAGATTTTTGAGATGTTGGTGCTGAAGAATATGAAAAAGTTATGGCTACGCTCTCCAGATGAAAGATTAAATGATTTATTCTCCCGTTAAGGTGGCTTGGGTGGTTGG